TTGGAAGGGCAGTAGAGCAGCGGGTCCAGGAGTGGGGAGGGTGGCAGGAAGTAACCAGGTTTCTTATCTGATAGATTGTTTTACCTTTGACAAGGCACATCTTCAGAAGGTAATAATTAAATATTGTCTTTAAGAATGGGTGGTCCAGTGAGTTCCTTTATGAGAGCAGAGTTGTTCTCGCTGCTGCTGTGATCCTGTCCTGTCGCTGTAGATCTCCACTGAGCAGGATCTGGCCAGCTGCTCTGGAATATGTATGCAGACTTTGGAGCTAGTTTGAGCTATTCCAGATTTTCACCAGTATAACTGAAATCAGAATCTGGGATGAAAATTCAGTGGCAAGTCTTCTTTTCCTCTGTGCGATGGGTGGCTTAAACGATATGCAAACATCAGCACTTCTCTGTATGATGCATATTTAGGTGTGAACTCCCATTAGTTGCAGAAAAGGGTTTTCCTTTCATTATGAGGGCCTTTCATTTATGCTTCAGTTCCTTTATTCTTTGACTTAAGCATTTGTATGGTGCATTAATGATTGAGGCTGATTCAGCTGTACTTTGTGTATAATGTCCACATTGTTTCATCTCAAGGGTTGTGACAACTAAAGCAGAGAGGAGTATTGCTAAATTCAGACTAAGCAAATATCCTGTCTCCCATTTGCAGGTATAATTCAACAGCTACTGTTGAGATATAATTATTTTTCCAAAAGGAATGAGTCTGTTAAGTGACTGTGTAAAACAAGTTGACCTGTTTAGACGGTGTTTAACTCGTCCTGGAAGCAGACTCTTCTGTGGTATAGACTTTAAAAGAATTTATTGCCACTGGAGTGAACAAAGAACAAGAGAGCACTTTGCTTTTCCACAGTCAGCCTCTCATGCTGGCTACGTCCAAACCCCGTCTCCTTCATGTTCATCATCAACCTTCTGACAACACTAGAGAGACAGACCATAGCAGGCTTGTGGACTTCCCTTGTCACCTATGAGACTCTCTTTCAGGCACAGCAACTGTAGTATCTTGCTCTGATGTAGCTGTTTCATGGATCTAGTTTAACTTTTCTCAAAAGCTGTCATTTTAAACAATGGGAATGAAGCATGTTACTGGCATCCTCTCTGCTTGTCTTCACCTTTTTTTCCTCCCAGAGCTCTAACATCTTCCCTAGGCCATAGGGATATCTTATATTAGGATGTGGGTATCCAATAAACCAGTGTGTGATGAAGCACTTGTGCTGTAGTCCAGTGACCGACAAACAGTTCTTACCTATCGAGAGACGAAGCAGAACAATGAAGGAAGTGCATATGTTTGGAATTTAGGGTCCTTCCTTCTGAATCTCCTTAAAATTGTCTCAAATGATGATTCCCACCAGGACCACCAGGCGCATCAGGACCCAAAGGGCCACCAGGACCTATCGGAGTCCCTGGATCACAAGTAAGGCGCTGAGGGGCTGAGGGGCAGAGTCGGGGGTTAGGTGAGAAGCATCTTCTCATTGCACAAAGAGGGAGAGTACCCCGTGAAATTCTGTGATTTCAATACCTTTTTTTTTGTTCTATGTTGTGTTGAGAGGTTGAAATGGTTGTGCTTCCCAGATCTCCCCTTCTTCATAACAACATATCTTGCTGTTGCTGTGTCAAAACGTTTCACTGTGGCCTGAGTTGATGCAAAGGATCTGACATCAGCTTTACTAACACGGTGATAGAAAAATACTGCGTTTCCTGTGGAACACAGAAAAAGAACGAAAATGCATCAATGGGAATTCACTGATTCACCAAAGTGAATTTGTTAATCCTATTTTTTCTGAAATACCACTTCCTATTCAAGAAAAATATCACAAATTCCCATCAGTTTGATTATTTATCAATACTAAAGTTGTGGAGAGGGGAGATAATAATGGAGTGTGATAAACTCACTCTAAAGAATTTATGGTAGAAGGGCAAAGTACTCGCATGGACGGAAAAGCTGGTAAAATGGAAAGAAGTGAAGTCATGATGAATAGTGAACTGCCAAGCTACTCAAAATTGTGGTTGGCTGATACAAAGGGACTCCAGTTTTGGGAAGAGTATTACTTAATGTGGAGGTAAACCAGTAACATCAAACATTTCAAAGGAATCTAACATGACTAAAGAGACCAAAGTGCCTGAAGAGCACAAAGGTTAAGTAACTTAGCAGAGGGGTGTAACTTAGATCGTGACAAGAAGAGCTTTGGAATTGCTAGAAATAGAGAAAGGAGATTTTTACTATGTATTTATTAATCACTTTGAAGAAGCAAGAGACACAGGTTAGCCAAAGCTTGCCAGTGTAGCAGAATCATTTCAATTAGTGAATGCTCTGGAGAATGATGAGAAACTCCAGATAGATGTGAACACAGTGGGAAATTTGGCAGCAAAATGACAGATGCAGTTGAATGTGATTAAATATAAGGTAATTCACAATTCATAAATAGGTTCTGTACTTGAGTCTGGCTTTTTGACACGCAGCACACATTATAAATCTTTTATTTTTTACAACGGATTTGTGGAATTCAGTGTTCTTGAGTGTCCCTGCGTAATAATCGTGCACTGAAAGCCGCTGTCGAGAGCTGTCAAGAGCAGAGGATGCTTACAGACACTTCAGCTTTGCTCATGCTTTATGTCTCATGTTTGACACAGGGCCAAGTCTGGTTTGTGCCCTGCCTCGTTCAGCAGCCCTAGTGAACCTCCTAAACCAGGCATGAGTTTCTGAATCTCTTGTGGGCCCAGGGGAGACGTAGCTAAGCTAGAGGCCAGGTCAGTGTCCAGCTTGGTGGTGAGCTGGTGGGGCTGACTGCAGAAGAGGGCCAGCATGTCCATGGTGAGCATTGTGCCTCCCAGCTGAAACTGGGAGAGTGCTCCTCCTTTAGACCCTTAAAATACTTATGTCCAATCTGCTGGGGCCGTTTAACCGGTGAGGCTCCTTGCAGCTATGCCTAGAAAGCCCATTGCTCTGGAGGCTGAGAGGTGGGAGTTTCTGGGGTTGAGTGGGTTGGCTTAAATCACCAGCGGTCTGGAGCGGAGCCGTAGTCTCATTTGCTGCAGTCTCCAAGGCGATGTGCAAGTCACTCGAGGTGGAAAAAAGCATCTTGCATATGGTTGTGAGGAGCTGGGGAGCTGACATGCTGAATATAAACAAACAATATTGTTCTCTCCCTCTCTGGTTTATTAACGTGGCTTCGCTGGGTGGATAAGTTAAGAATTTAGATCAATTTCTGCAAAGCAGTTCAGTTAGTAGAAATCTGGAGACTATGCCCTTCTTACCCGTTGGTGACTGTTTTATAGATTTATTCAACCCAGGGAGCAAAATTATGAGTAGAGATTGGGCTTAATTCGAAAATTGTTTATTAGGGTGAGTGAATAGCTTCAAAATAATTTCCACTGCACAATCCAATTAATTTTCAGGTATGTATGGTTACTCGTGCCACCCACTGAGGCAATTATGAAGAGGGGGAAAGTAGTGGGGATTTTTAAGCTAACTGTACTCTCTGTGTGTTAATTTCTTCTTGGTAACTGAGAACAAGAACTATCCTGTCCTACTGACCCTTTGAATGTTACACACATTAAAAGACCCAAATAAAAGGATATGCAGGAACTATAGGGCTCGGGATACCTGCGAACAGAGCTTGCATTGTTGTTGCTTGAGGGTAAAAGAGAATCCAGCCCAATCACTTAATGGGTGTGTGAGGTTTTCAGGAGCTGAGGATCACTGGGAAATGTATTCACTGCACCTACACAAAGGATGCACAGTAGAAATTAATTCCTTCTTGTTCTGCATCTCTTCTAGGGCTTACCAGGTTCTCCAGGACAACCCGGGCCAAAAGGCTCCAAAGGAGACCGAGGAGAGAGAGTAAGGTTTTACATCCAGGGAGGGATTCCCAGCAACATCTGGGGTGATGCCTCAGAAATTGTATACAGCATAGGTCTTTCAAATTGTGTGGGACTAGAGCCATGAACAATTTTAAATGTAGAGTTTCTAGGTCTTTTGCAAGAACCAAGATGAGGGTTTACTGTACGGATAAAGGGTTGAATTGCTTGCAAAGCCTGGTGTTCCCTAAAGAGATTCAGGTAGCAAATACATGGTATTTAAAGGCTTGTGGAGACCAAGTTTCTTCTGCCAACCAAAGCTCTTTAAAGTGGAGTATTTTGAGTGGTTTAACTAAACTCTTCCTTCTGTGGCAATAAGGCAGTAAAAGCTCATCAGACTTTTCCTGAACCAAAGCCATTCCCCAGGTCAAACAATGTTCTTAATATATTTGGAATATTGAATTAATGTTCTTAATATGTTTATGTGCTATACCTCAGTCCTCGATGGGTTGTCAAGTGCTAATAAATAAGCATAGAAATAAGGGCTGTTTCAATGTTATTTTCAAACTGGTTAAGTTTAGGAAATACCAGAGAAAAATCTAACAAGGATATAAATATGTCAGATTCCCAGTCTAGCATTCAAGCACCAGGAAGGTTTTCAAAGTGGCATTTGGGCCTTCAGCTGCTTTTGTTCAGCATACTCTCCAAAAGGCCGTGGTCCTTGAAATCCCCTCTGAGAGACACTAAGAACGCAAAATCATTTGAGAATGTAGTACCTGGTGGAGGATCATTCAGCAATTAGATCTGCAAAATGTAGAAGTGGGCACAGATGGACTAGACAATCACTAAGACCCTAGTGTGGGGCAGGGTCGAAGAAAGATAAGGAGAAAAATATTGGTTGATACTTAAAATTATGGGCGTCTGCAGTGGGGGCTGCATTGACACAGCCCTGTACCACAGCTGTAGGAAACAAGTGCATTTTTCTTCCAAGTGCTACTTTTACCATCACATAGATGGAGGTGAACGTGGAGGTCACCACTTGTAAATGGGTGGCTGTAGATGACGGGCTTCCCCCATACAACAGCATCTCCTCCTCTTCATTTCCACTCACTCTTCCAATCCAAGAGACAGAGGGATGTTTGAAAGAGCTGAGAAAGACAAATGCAAATTGGTTAACTCCAATTTCAAGCCTTCCTAAATTCATGAGAATAACCAGCAACAGACTTAAACTATGTTCCTCTGTCCAGAATGTGTGCAAGGAGAGCAAGTCCAGGTGGCTTGTTTCATTCTCTCCTGATGCACTTCATGCCAAGGAGCGAGGATATCTGAGGGTGGTGCACATATGCTTTGGAAATACTCTGTTTTATTTTAGTAGCTTTGCATATTGTTTTGGGTGTTTGGTACCTATTCCTACATAAGAAATCACTTGCAGCTCCCTGAAAGATAGAGGCCACTTTAAGTGACTGTGAGTATTTTTTTTAATAATGGTTTTCTTGTGCAGATCAGCCACTTCGGGCATGTATTGGCTTTACTAATAGATTAGAGTCTGATGCATCTCTGGGACTAGAATTTATGATTCTGATAGAAAGCAAAACCTTAACTGAGGAGATACCAGCACAGGTTACCGACTACAGCTCATCACCATTACATGTTAATTTTCAGTTAAAAAAAAAAAAGCAAAGCATGGTATATGGCAAAGTGTCAAGTTTCCATCCAGGAAACTGATAAGCGCTCTTCATTTAGCATTTTCCTTTAGTTTGTGGTTGGCCGTATTGCTAAGACTAGACTTATTTTGAAACAAAAGCTGTGTTGCACTGTGTCTGTTCAGTACAGACAAATCCTTTAGACTTTGATTTTGTTCCCTCCTTGTTAGATAGTCAGATTTGTAACTCTTCTTCTAGGTTCGGGACAAATGAGATTTTCAAATATCAGAATGTCTTGCTAAATAGAAAAAACAAATTCTATTTCCTGTCCTTCCTCTGTTAGCGTGGAAAGTGAAGCCGATTGCTTTTTCTGGCAGAATTTCTGTAGGATGTTCCTGTGTGCTTTTTGTCTTTTGTGAGCGTGGATTTGAATGCTGGTTTTGACAACTGCATGGCTGCAATTTTGGGTTTGGTGGATACAAATTAGAGCTAGCTTGCCACAGAGCGCAGGAGCTGTGCAGCTGCAAAGAAAAGCACAGGAGGGTTTACAATATCTGTTGAGATTTGAGAAAATGTTATTATACATTCTTCCTGCTTCATCTCAGAGAGAACAGATGTAGAAGAGACCTGAAGCAGTCTGAGCACATCCCCTGGATGGCACATCTATGTGTGTGCTGCTCACGATCAGCCACTGTTCATCTTCTTCTTAAACAGTGCCAGGGAGCGATACACCACATCATCTCCAGGCAGTGATACACCACATCATCTCCAGGCAGTGATACACCACATCATCTCCAGGCAGTCTTCAGAGGCAGAGCAAGTGAGGGGCTGGGATAAAAGATATTTCTAACATCCAGCCTAAATACCCTTTGATCCCCTTTAAGCTGATAACATCCTTTCCCATTCCCCCTGGACATAGAGAACAGTCTGTTTAGGTATTTTGAGTGCGTTGTTATGTCTCCTCCCTGCGATTTGCCTCCTGCCTGTGCTTTTTCACAGGCCTTACTCTCTCCAGTGCAGAATCCCACTATTCCCCTTTGAAGATGCTCGGAGCACTTGACAAACTGGGCCTTCCTCCCAGCACTCTTCGTGTCGATACGGGCCTTTGTCCAGTGCTGGCCAGCGGCTCGCCAGCGCTGCGCAGCTCTCCGTAGTAACCTTTTGTAGATGCCCAAGGCCCGTTGGTTTTATACAAAGCAGCGGTTTGATGGACACGCACACAGCGCAGCTCTCCCTTTCTGGCAAATGCAACAAAAAGCTGCCTCCAGCTAGGTAGTTGTTTTGGGGAAAAAAAGGATGGGTTTGTTTATGTGTGTGTCTAGGGGAGCAGAGACAGGTTAAATATGTATCTGTTTCATCAGCGGATTTCTAAAGATGCTTTTAAATTTTGCCTCCTCTTCCCAAGCCCCTGCTTTCTCATTAAATAACCTGTACCTGCTCTCCGGGTCAGGGATTCTGCCCTGCCCCAGGACGGGAAACTAACACTGCAGATGAAAATGGGGAAAAAAGAGGCTCAGTTCGATGCCGTTTCATTCTGCCCCAAACCAACATGTACCGTGTCAAAATGTTTCTGTTTAAGAAAAACCAAAATAAACAACAGAACAAAAGACACCCCCCCCCACTGAGAACACTGTGAAAATTAGGACAGCAGCAAGAAAAAGAAACAAACCACCCAAAATATTGTAGGTGTGTTTTGATGAGTAGCTGTTGGGGTTAACGCGGGGATGTGTGTGCAGCGGGAGGCAGGTTAGATCAGTGCTCTGTGGGAGTCCTGGGCTCTGTCTGCTGTCTGGGGCAGCATCAGCCCATCAGTTCTACTGGAGAGAAGAATGCGGTACCTTTGTAAGAAACAAATCTCTGCCAAATTCCTTCCTGCTGTAATGTAACTGACTGCTGTAAAGTTCAAAAACTTGCTAATCGTCTTACTGAGAGGGTGCTGAGCCGAGCTGAGTAACCAAACTTCTGCAAAGCGTGATGGGATTTGGAGCTGATACTTGGCAGAAAACCATGACCCCCTTTTGCTGTCTCTAAGTGATAATGTCAAGGGAGAGGAATATTTTTCATATTATGCCAAGAGTAAGGTTTTTCATTAAGCCATCTTAATTCAACTAGTAAAAATTACACCATGTTCTTGTCAAATGGAAAAATATCTCCTAATGACACTTACTTTATTTCCAACAGGGGCAAGCAGGTCTGACTGGAGAGAGGGGCATTAAGGGACTTCCTGTAAGTGATGTACTTGCGGGTGTGTGCACCATAAATTCCACCTGGGTGGACTGTAGCTGGTTCAACCAGCTCCCTAAGATGCGATGCCTGGGTCAACTGTCTCCATCTCAAGGATCTGTTGAACAGGCAACTCCACCTTAACGTTTTCCTCTGCAAATGAAACATAGTCTTCCTGCATGTTAAGCAGAGCGCTGCAACGCTGTGATCAGGAAGGTGTCACGCCAACGGAGGAGGTGTGCGTTGCTTGCAGAGCCCCTCCAGCCAAACCTGGGCAGAAGGCAGCCCCCTCCCTGCCCCGCGAGGTTCCTGGCACTGCCAGAGCCCAAAGGTGGGCACTGTCAAACAACTCCAAGCACATTGGCTGTGCTCAACTCCCTCTTGCACCTTGGCCTGCCAGGCTGAGCTGGAAACCCTTTAATGAGATTAAGAGATGGCTCCAAATGATTTCTTGGCGATACCTGAACAGATGCACACAGGAATTGTCTGCGCTGGCACAAATGGCTAGGGTGCAAACAAACCCGTGGAGATGAAGGTTGGCTGAAAGTGAGCTAGTGAAGCAACTTGGGTTGTTGGTTTTTTTTGTCTGGCAGCATCCAGAGAGATCCTAGGTCCTCTGGGAGGTTTCTCTTCTCCTCTCCATACGTTTCGTACAATTGACACAACCTTTGCTTCAGTCCTTCCTCCCATACACACCCCTGCTTTGCAAGTGTCTCAGGGATGTCCAACAAGTTTGAGGAGCTCAGGCATTTCCACTTTATTTTAGTCACCAGTTTGTTAGCCTTGTTTTATGTTTAGCTTGTGGTTTAATCTCTCCATGTCATCTGTTCTTTGGGAAATGCATGAGCTTCCTGGTTAAGGGGGCACATCAAACTGATACTCAGAGCACATAGGGATCTTTGTTCAAGAAAAGCTTAATGAGCATCTTCAGAGGCAGAAAGTGGTGTGACTAATTACTGAAAGCAGAATGGAGGATTTTATGTTCTAGATCAAAGACGAACACGTGCACGTTTGAGGGAGGAGAGCAGTATTTTTAGCTCAGTGTTTCAGCCTAAAGCATTGCTCCTTGAGAGCTTCATGAGATTTATATTGTCTCGTTGTGGGCCCAGGCCATGGCAGCCAGGCCCTGCTGCAGCTCAGTCACTCCTGGCCAAGTTCATCAGTGATAGAACTGGTGATGACCTCCTGGGAAGCTGATGTGAGCCAGGACAGAGCTCACGAGAGCACTTTGGCTCTTGGCGTGAAGAGCCACAGAGTCAGTTTGTTTTCTGCTGGTGAAATGCTTCTGTCTTTAATTTGATCCTTTGGAGGGAATGGATGCAAGTGATCCTGGACAGGGTCCTCAGTGCCATGGAAACGAATTTCTGCTTCTTGTTTGTTTTTTTTTCTTAGGGTGAACCAGGCAAGAAGGGTGAGGAAGGTGACAAAGGTGCTGATGTAAGCATGTCTTTCTACTGTTGTTTTACTACCCTTTTTGCCTCTTTACTGTCCTTCAACCATGTTCCCTTTGGCAGGCTGGTTTGTGGGGGCAAGGGTTGTGTCCACAGTTAAAAGTGCAGAGCAAGCGATGATGTGAACCTTGGATTTGAACTTAGTACATGCTAGAAACTCTGGTCTTCAAGGTTTCTTTGGCCACATTGTCAGCTGCCCTTGTCACCATGCTCTCTGAACACCTCCTCAGTCCCCAGTGGTTGTTCTGCCACACAGCTGCTACAAGGTAGGGAATTACTCCTCTACTGACCCTCCCACATGCTCAGGGACAGACTCCTGGAAGAGATCAAATTGCATGTGCAGAGAATTGGAGTTCTCACATCTCTGCTCTCCCCCCCTAAAATACTTTCCAGCATCTATCAGTCCCGTCAAGCCCATATCTAAGGCAATGGGAACAACAACCTGCAGCCTGAGTGTACATGAAAGTATGTGGACAGGCTTCAGGCAGCATGTGGCCCAGCTAGGAGCTCTTTGAGAGGCAGTGTGAAGGTCTATCAGGATGGGCTTGCATGCCAGTGTTCCAGTTTACAAGGGAGCAACAAGATGGTCTGGTCACATGTCCCAGTTTCTGGTGTAACAGTGAAGAAAAAGCCCAGGTAACTCACTGATGTTCAGAGTAAATGTCAGACGAGAGCAAAACCTGTTTTCCAGGTAGCATAGTTGTTAACATGGATTACACGGTATAAAGGTTTGAAAGGAATATACACCCTGGGTTTGGTCCACTGCAGAAGTAGGAACCAAACTGAAAAGCACGGCTTTGGGTCAGAGGCTCTGCAAACATGGGGTATAACTGAGGAGTTTTTCTGTAAATAGGGGTTTCTCCTGCATTTCTACTTACCCCTTCAAAGTTATCTCCTCTTTTACATCTTTGCTTTTTTAAACATCCACACTGCATGGTTTGGTGTTATGGAGGCAACAGTATGAACAAGAAGCCTATTGTGCAACATATTCCAATGTTAGTTTTATTTTCCTTCTTGCAGGGGGAAGGTGTTCAACAACTTCGAGAAGCTCTGAAGATTTTAGCCGAGAGGGTATTGATTCTTGAGCACATGATAGGAATTCATGGTAAGCGTCACTAAGGTTTGCTTTTCTAGACAACTGGGGCCCTGTTCAGGCAGCTGCTTGATGATTAAACATCCTCCCAGTCTCCTAAGCTCCCTGTCTAGTATCCGTTTAAGTCAGGTTTTCAAAACTAGGTACTCAACAGGACTTAAAGGATGATAGAACTGCTGAGGACCTAGAGCTTCCACCAACTGTACTTGTTACCCTGGCTTTACAGTAGCAGGTGAAATGACCCCCACAATAATTTTTATTGAAGTTCAGAGAGCCAAGTCACGAGCAGCAGCTCAAGCCATGTGGCACAGATCATCTGCTAGCTTCCCAGGGAGCTGCTTGTTCAAGTCTTTAGGCCAAACCATTTAATCCTGTTAATAGTGTCTTCCAAGTGACTTTAACACCACTGAGGCCCTTGCCTTTTGTAGCACTATATTTTACAGAGAAAGCCCAAACAGTGCTGCGCGTTACCCTAAAAACCTGTCATTCCTGAACACCTTGTGATTATAACTAACTTACATAAAACCTATTTTCACAATCAGATTTAAAGAAAGTCTCACATGTTCTTCATTCAGATAGATTTTAAGTTTTCTGGTACAGTGTGTGGCATCACCCCTTAACCAGAGTACGGACTTGTGCAGTGGGTCACGGATCAGCCTTCTCCCTTTGGCTTACTTGAGGATCGATTCTCTCATAGCTGCCAAAAGTTGCTGTGCCAATTTTTCCCCTTTCAGAAACACGGTAGAGCCAAAATGTTGTTTGGATCTACTATCCCCACCTGTGAAAAGCAGGCCTGTTCCTTGGCACTGAGATAAGCATTTCTTTAACAAGTCCCATAACGCTCTTCTTTCTCATTGTTCTCCTTGACACATGGCACCTCGTTCTTGGCCTCACTTGTAAAGCAAGCTGCTCACACCTCCTTCAGATCGACACCCACTTTTACTATGAAGTGGCCTTTGGATATTGATTTAGCCTGTGAAAATGCTGAAGAGCTAAAATGTCCAGCAGTTCCTAAGCAAGGGACAGAAAGAGTATCTATTCCCGGGCGGTAAGGCCGCACGCCTTGAGCTCCCACGAGCCCCTGCTGAAGCCAGCGGTGCTAAACCGATGATGCCGTTGGGCACTCCAGAGCCAACAGTGTCAGCGCATGGTGCTGTGTCCTACGGCTGCCCGGCCTGGGTGGCTGCACTGCTCTTCACTGCTCAGCGGCCAGGGGTCTTTTAGAGGCCCAAAGGACTATTTCCAGAAGCAACAGGCAGCAACAGCTTTAGCTTTTCGGGAAATCATGAATCACAAACCCACGATTTAACCAGTCACCCTGACCTTACCTCTGCATTAATCCTAGTTTGCATCATATTTTCTTTGGATTTTATACACCGAGGGCAGGAAGAGACGTTTTTATGCTGCTTTGCTTTGAGACGGTGGAGGTGCCAGAGGATGCCCACTAATCACCCAGGCAGCAATTCATGCCCAGCCTGTGTGTCCTCTGGGGGGGAGGAGAAGGGGAACCCAGTCCATAAGCACAGTGCAGTGTATTTGCAGGACCCAGGGCCTGGCCCTCCGTTGTCTTTTACCTTGTACCTTCATTTGCACTAGTATAAAGCAAAACGTCAGCTCTCCAGGAAGCTTGTACAGACACTGGGTCTTGGACTGTGGGATTCACACAACTTTGCCCCTGCAGAACTGCCTGGTTTATGTCTTTTATACATTGTCTGTTTGGCAATACAGCAGCAACAGGGCACGCGGTGCTGTTGTTTTGAAACAGCCATTTCAGCAAACCATTTTTCCTGACATAGATGTATTTTCTGTTATTGCTCAAGATGGAGATGCTTTATTTATACCCATGAATACCTCTATACTGGTGTAACTGCATCAGCAAAAATGGATGGGTTTTAATTGCACAGTGTAGTTAAGGCCATGTTTAAACACCTATGTTGCATATTTAAATAATTTCTGTTTTTATCCAATAACAGTATAGATAATTATGTTTTTATTCTGTGCTTTTGAGATAGTTCCACTCTTTAACTTAAGACATATTTTAGGCCCTACAAAAAAATACTGTTTGGAAAATAAGGCATTTTTTCCTTGTGCAATTATGTTCATCCCAGTATGCGTATACGGTTTAAAAAAAAAACAAAAAACAACAGAAAAAGACATAAAATAACAAAACAGAATTTCCTTGAGCCCAGACCTCCCTGCACGGAAAGGCAGCACACAGGTTTAAATCACACAGCACCAACTATCTGGTCATTTTCCCAGTGTAGGTGTTCAGGCTTTTACCACGGGTTCCTGGGCAGTCCGACTCAGCCCAGCGTCAAGGACCCACGCAGAAATGCCAATCTCATGCTCTCATTTTCCGAAGAAACTTCACAATCAGTGCTGTTTCCAAAACCACAGCCACCCAAGCAACAAGGCAAAACATACCAGCAAACAAACCTCTTCTCTGCGAAGGGAGGGCAGTTTGAGATTATCTGGCCTAGCAAACTGCAGAGAGCAGCCCAGAGGGACGCGTAGGAAAGCCCAAATTATTTGGCAGTGTTTACTGCCAGCGAACGCAGCACAAATCCTCCGGCAGCCAAACGCTCACTTGGAACAGAAATGCTGCCTCGTGGGACCAAACCAAGGCTGGGTGTCTGGCTGGTGAGGTTGGGCTCTTGGCAGGGAAACAAGCAAGCGTCCATCTCTGAAGGCAAAAGGAAGAAGAACCTGGGGCATTAAAAATGATGGGGCAGCATTGCGTTATCGGCATCTGTTGCTGACTGCTGGGGAAGTAGAAGAGTGGCTGTAGTCAAACATATATTTAGCTTTGTAAGGCAGGATGCTGAAGGAAGAGGAGGTGTCTGTTACCATGAGGCGTGTGGGGAGAATGGACAGCTAATATTTATTCCCAGCCTCATTACTAATTTGGCTGTAGCCTTGAGTGGATCAATCGTTCAATCTTTTCAGTGCCTCAAAATGTCCTTTACGAGGCGTGAAATGGTACTTAAACCCCCAGGAGCATCACTTGGCCCCATCCTTCAGTAACAGGAGTCTGTGGGCAATGCTGAGCAGCAGCTATAGCCCAAGCAAAATTCTAATCAATAAAATAAGAGCACTTTATATATGGAATTACAAATGAGAGCAGGACTTGCTGGGCCACGTGCAGTAAAAGCCCCAAAGAGTTTAAACAGAGCAGAGGGAAAAGACCTAATGTAGAAATAGGGTGATGGCAGCAACCAGGTAGCTCCACAATTGCTTGCTGGATGGAAAGACAACAGGAGGGACGACACTTCTTCCAGAAGAGGTATCACTCAGAAGGGCCCATGTACTCTTCCCTTAGCCTCCTCTTAAATAGCGCTCTCCCGTGACTTTCTCTCCTTACAGACTCTTTATCTTCCATTGAGCCAGGCTCTGGACAAGACGTGATCCCAGGCTCCCCTCTGCGAACCAGCATCAAGATCAAACGTGGAGGACCCCAGCAGCCGCAGGCCTACCAGATCCTCTCTTCACTGCTGGATGACAGTGAAGCCAAAAGGAGAAGCAATCGGATGAAGTAGGAGTATCTGTGTGTTTTCTGTGCCTGTTCACCAGTTAAAGATACAGTATCCCAGTGCTTAATTGCAGAGTGCAAATGAAGTGGGTAGGAGGCTGCAGTGTTGGCAAGTGGGTTTCCTTACCTGGCCAGCACTGTGCCCTTATTGCAGGGAATGTCTTATCCATAGCTCAGAGAGGGTCTTAGGAACATTTTTCTTGATTTTGTTGTTTTGCCTTTGGAATATCAGATGGCAGGTATCCTCACAAGCTCTCTACAGAAATGACACCTCCTGACTGTCCCAAGAGTTTAATCCACCCCTTGTTTCCTCACTGCCCTTGAAAGTTACTCAGTTAAAGCACTGCTTAACTGCCCAAGACAATCAATCCCATCTAGACTCAAAACCAAGCTTCATCCTTGTCCTCCATCAGTATAGTTGGTGGAATCCACTTTTATTTCATGTGGTGGTGTCATGCTGACTTCCAGGTGAAGATACCACTTCCATAGGCCATTAAAGCACGACCTGCAAGGATTTCTTTTAAGCAAAGAACAAATTGGAAAATTCAAAGAACATTTAATACTGTGACTCTGAATATTCAGGTTACTCTTTGGACTTTATCATCCAAACCTTGGCTTTTCATGTTGCTAATTGCATGTGAGTTGCATTATTTCTTTTGTGGTTGGCTAAGCAAGGACTTTTGATGCAAATGTTCATGGCAACATTGATTTTCTATCTATCTTCAGTGAGATTAGACTTCTGTGAAAAAATAGAGCAGTTTGTACGAGATATGATGGAATTGTGCAAGAATTTTCCCATATTGTGTTCGGCTTGTGCATACATAATTAATTTAAATAGTAGCAATAACTATTGAAAGAAAAGGATATTTTGCAATAGTTTCTTAATCCTACATCAATAAGGAAAATTGTTTTCACACTGTTTTGTTTTTATCTTGTGAGTAAATCCTTGCCATTGGAATCTGTAAAGAGTGTAGTAGCAAACCACAGCCTAAGGATTTAGAGTCTTGTCAAGAGCTTATCTTGCACTGGGAGTTAAAGACAAAGTCATTTTACTTTTTGCAATCACTTGTTATTCTGGGGGAAGTCCCAGCTTCCAGGGTTCTGAAGCTGAACCTGTCCTTGAGTGACAAATGAATCACCACACCTGCTGTGCAAAGCAAACTGGACAAGTTGATGTCATTCATGTAGACAGTGATTTTTGTTAGAAAGAGGGGGACTAATGAACAAAACCGATGGTACTGTTTCTAATTTTTTTTTTTTAATTCACACACACACACCAGCCCCCTCCCCTGCCTCATTCTGACAGTCTTCAAATTGGGCCCAGGTCGAAAGTGAGCGAATTGGGTTGGTGTTTGTCATTTTACAGCATAAGTCAGGTAAATGGGTCACATTCTGTCTGGTTCCTAGGGCAAGATACAGCTATCTGAAAAAGGCAAACTGTATTGCTACGATATTTCCATCAAAAGCTGTTGCAAAGACCAACAACTGTATGGTCCATGTACTCAGCAACCCTGGTCGTCCAAAGTGATCTTCCCAAGGCAAAACCAGAAGCATGTGGTACACTGGAAATGAGGCATAATATGAAGGAGCTCTGCCAGCCCAACATTAGCCACACATTAAATTAACTTCTATATAGATTGTAAACATGATAGATCTACAGAAACATCAGAATATCCTGACCTTTCCTCTGAAGAGCATTATATTTTCAGAAATGAACAGGTTACGGACTACTTCAAGATGAATGAATTCACTACATGTCTTCGTTTGGCCCTGTTCTTTAGAAATCCAACCAACCCTCTCAAAACAGGTGAAAAGGTGTAAGTTGATGCTGAGCAAGCACCAGAAACTTGTCCTCATACAGAAGCTTTTTAACTGCTGTACAGCTAAATAATGAACAGCCTTGGTTTAAGCTGGCTTGGAGGCTGCCATAAATGCATTTACTTGCCCTGTTTTTGAATCCTCCGCTGCGCGGCTAATGCCAGCGGTGGAGCTCATTCAGCAGTCAACCCATGTAGTTCAGGTTGTCCTTCTGTGTGCTCAAGTTTTCCTTTGGATATTTCAAAGAAACAAGCCCAAAACGTTACAAAAGTTTGGGGAGTTGAAGGCAAGGTACAATCAGGTGCTCTCTTTCCTCAAGACTCCCAACATTTGAAGAGAAGGCAGAGTTTAGCCCAGAGCTGATGCTTCAGGCTCCAGCATTCCTTTGCCCGCACATACTCTGAATTACAGCTAGAGAGTAATATAGTCAAGAAAAGAAAACAAGTAAAACTGCCCAAGTCAAGCAGTTTACTGACCTCAAGCAGTCGTCCTGTATTCGTAATCCTTTTGGGAGAATGAAATAAAGTCTCCTTGAATGCATCTTAGTTTCAAATCCAGCCCCAGCTCTAAGTCCAGTGCTAACTCTAATGACAACATGTATATAAATGATGCTGACTTAAATCAGTGTCTTCAAGAAGGCTGGCAACCAGCTCTCAGCCTAAAACCAGTCACAAATACAAACAGCTCAACTTTCCAACATGGAGCGAGTAACTGAAGTGCTGTACAGCAGTAGCTCTGTTGGTGGGCAGCTAAGCGTGGTGCAGCCACTGATACATGCTTGGAATAATCCTTCCATTTAAGAATTAAACGTGCAAAAGACCCGACGTTTCCTCATTTACAGACTAATTACCATGTAGGAATTGAGAAGTACTTGGTTACCTCTTTGTTGAATCAGGACCACCTTGGTCTTGATCACATGGACGTCACAAGACACAGCTGGTGGCTTCCAGGAGATAACCCTTACTGCCTACCAGTACATGTTGGAAAATCAAGACCAAGGAGAAATCCCAGTTCAGTCTAAACGCGTACGCTGGGCAGGTTGGTGCTACCTATAGTCACTTGCCACATTAAGGTGTCCTCGTGGCAGTTTCAGGAACTAAACCAAACTGAAGCAGTCTTTAAAAAGAGAAACAGCAAAATTCAGTTTCACTGGTCCTGTAGCTACAGGGTTGACTTCGGGGAAGAGGGTGTACAATGAGACCATTTTCACTTCCCTGACATTTTGGAGCCTTCGCATTGAATTGAAAGAGAAATTTTTCTTCCTCCAAGTTTGTCTTCCTGAATTCAAAGCTGTTGCATTAGATCGGTGAGTGCTCTCTTCGAGTTATTCATATCGACTAGGATTTGGGATTTGAAATTATTTAAAATAGATTACTGACAAGATGAAAGGAAATTTAATGGAAGTTGTTTGCAATGAATCCTGCCGAGTCAGTTGTCAAAAGACTGGTTAGGTTTGGGTTGCAACCCTTTGAATTACTGACTTTTCCAGATTTCTATATGAGCTATGTAATTTTTTTCTCCTCACACTTCTTGCTTTATTTAGCTGCATCTCTCTCCTGCGGTACTGTATCTTTAATTTGGGTGACAGTAGGATTATACCGAAGGGACTTTCTCTCTCAGCTGGGCTTTCATTCCTCTCTACTTACAAAAGGGTTGGACCACACTGTTGGGCAGGCCCGGGTTAATTGTGTTTTAAAGGTGAACGCAGCCTCACACGCTGATATTAATGCTATTCCTGACTAAGCAAACCACTCCAACCACATTGTCCATCTTCGGCAGGACACCAAGGTTCATTTTAGCCAGGGCATAGAATGCATCTTGCCGTGTCTGTGCAGCTTAGAGAGTGGATTTCTTTCGAACGCCTGCTCATTTAGAAATATATTTTAATTGAAATGTTTAGTGCTTTATCTTACATGCATACTGTGCAATATCATAGTGTGTTCTTTTCCTTTTTTTTCTTTCTTAAGACTTTTTTGGAATTCTTAATGTTTCTTTGAGCTCTGATGTGGTTGTGACTTGGATCAGTTCTGGTAGTAGTAACACATTTTCCTTGCCTTGAGCTAACCAGAAGCAGCAGCAGTGCGTTGCACAACCAAAAAATCTTTGCAGTTCATGCACCCTCATGTTCACCAGCAAGCTGGTGCTCCTGGGAGGCAGAGAATGCTTCTCTCCAGAGTATCTACTTTGCACTTACTGTAAAGAATTGATAGCAGCCAAGGGAAATAGGAATAAACTAGAGAGAAGAGCCCTCGCGCTCACACCAAGCTCCACAGTAATTTTGCCATCAACTTTCAAAGGACCAGACCATAAAAATCAGATCCAGATCTTCAGCTAGCACGGACTGGTGCTGCTTTCAGCAGAGCAGAGCATATGGCTCACAAGTGGCTTTCTGAGAGTTTGGCTCTGGGGTTGGGGTTCACTCCCAGTCTCTGCAACGAACTATTTTAATGTAGGAACCTGACCACTGTGACAAAGGCTTCTGAAAGACAATCAGCTTCTGGAGTTACTTCTCGATACAATTTACTGGAAATCCATTCTCTTCCACGTTTACAGCTTCTGTCTTATTCCAGATTACATTCCACTCTGGTGTTTGGTGGTGTAGGGGTTTAAAGTACTCGCAGTTTCTGTGATTGCGTTGACACCAAGCAATTCAAAGGTGCTATAATTGTTCCCAAAGCACATTCCCATGCATAGGAAATGTTAACTTTTTCACTAGTTATTTTACACAGTATTTTTCTATTTATATCAGTGTGTTTCGTATGTGTGCAAATGGTCCCGGCTTCTTTCGTTGTAATGAGCTTTACAACCATTTGGTCTTTTATAGGGCAGCCATACGTGGTATCTTGCAATCATGTGTAATTTCTTAACTTAGAGCAAGAATAAATCTCATCTGACACGATGAACTCATTTATGGCAGGCTCTAATGTTTGTTGTAAACACAACCTGTTTGTTCCACCTCTTGCATGGTTACTTACCTGTTTCATATTGCTATGTTATTGTTCAAAATATCTATTTCTCTTTATTTGCTATGGGGTTTGTTACTGTATATGGAATGTTTTGTATTCAGCATTTTCTTACAGAGCAGAGTGGGAACAGTATTCAAGAACCCACAAATACCAAAGACCTTTCATGTAATGCACTGAGAAATAAACATACTGTAAATGAATATGATGTCAGGTGTCCTGTATTTACAAAGTTCAGAGCAAGTTCAAGCAACCTGCATCCTGAAATCAGGGCATCTGTTTTTCTTTCCTGCCATCTCAACTTTCTCTGACTGTATGTTTGCAGGTCTTAAAAAACAAGCTTGTGCATAAAGACCCTGCGTCAGGTCATCTCCCGTGAGGTGGAGGGGCAGAAAGGCCCTTCGTTAACCACTGCTGAATCTGGCAGCTCCCTTGCCCACGATGGGACTGACTCACCTGCTGATATGGGCACGACTGCCATCTCAGAGGTCTGAGGTTTGTCTCCAGGACACGCTCAGGCCCTGCCCCGCGTTCCCAGCCACACTGACCCAACAGAGGGGGGTATCCCGCCTTCCCGGTGAGGTGTTAATTCCTAAAGCAGCCTAGGCGAGCCTTCGAGCAGTGCCAACTTTGAGCAGCTTGCTTTGCACTGCAGAGTAAGGCACTGCCTGCATATGGCAGATTCTTCCTTCAGGAACAGCCCTCCTGTTCCCGCAGGAGTTCTACGTCAGTGCAGACACTGGGATGGCAGCGGGATTGGCACTCTGAGGGTGGGTTGGCTGCAGCAGACCATGCAATGGAAGGGACAAGCCAGAGAGAATTCTGCAGTGCGTAGGAGCATAGATTAAAATCTGCTGTTATTTGCAACTTGCCTCGCTTCCTCCTAAGTTTCCTTACAGTTCGAGGAAGACAAGTTGGCTAATCCAAGGCAGCAGTGGCTTCCCAGGCCCCCTCCTGCAGTCCCCTGGTACCTCCAGGGCACCTGTCTGCTCCAGAAGCAGCTGCGTTTGCCCACTTGTGCCTCTGGGCTTGTGGAGACACAGGGGTGGTCACCTCTTGTGACAATTGTCACCTCTTGTGACAACTGTCGGAAGGGGATGTGGTTAGGGACTGGTTTTTGGTTTGTTTTTTTTTTAACCTTGCTACAATGGGAACAACTACCCATTTAGATGCAACTACCTATGATTTTTTAACCTTGCTACAATGGGAACAACTACTCATTTAGATGCAACTACCTTTGGGAGGCTTTACTCTGCATGAGCCTTGGCTGTAGGAGAGGACCTGGGCTGTTTCTGTCAGAGATGTGACAATTCTGGTTTCTGAACTTGTTTTTTTATATCCTTAGGAAAACAAGAGATACGTAAATCGCAGCCAATTTTTTTCCCCCTACCGATCAGATTACAGTGCAGATATGCAGATACCAGCACCGTAACAAAGGCTAAGTCTTGTAAACACCGAGAAACATTGACAGCATCAAGGCTTCTGCTTCATACAGCTTTTTGCATCACTGATGAGGACATACTCAAGGTTACTTGATGCCAGACATTCCCATGCAGCACTTCTCCGGGTCTCTCAGGGTGTATTTATCTTGGTTTTTGTGTCCTAACACCTCCAACTCTGATATATTTATCCTTGCAAGAAGTCCTCTGAGGGAAGGCAGTTCTGTTAATCACTACTGTACAGATTGGGAGTTGCTGGATAAAAGGCTAAATTAATTTCTCAGGACGTTTGTGGCTGTGCTGGTCTG